TAATAATAATGGAAGTCCCCATTTTCATCGGAGAAATGTTGAAGGGTATTTAAGACGATCCCTGTCTGATCAGGCCAGTGGTCCGTCTAGTCCACGTTGTCACCACAGTAACCTTTCCCCCTTCGGGTTCTGGACTAGGACTTAGGAGAGAGCTGGGTTCAAATCCCGGTTGGCCTTGAAGCTCACTGAGTGAGACCTTCCCACAGTCCGTGCGTCTCAGCCTGGCCTACCTCGCAGGGCGGTTGTGAGGATGAAATGAGAAGAGCAGAACCATGTATGTCACCTTCAGCTCATTGGAGGAAAAAGTGGACCATAAGTGCAATTTTGAATGAATGAATGAATAAAACAACCTGAGATGCGTTGCCAGGTCTCGCAAAACCTACACAATCTTAATTTGATTTCCCCCCTTTTTTAAAGTGTGACATGTCAGAGTCAAAACACTGGGCCTCTCAGCAGCGCATAGGGGTTGTTGCTTTGTACGCCAAAGGATCTTTCCGGTAATTCTTGTCCGGCTGCCTCTTCTGCATTCCAGTGTTATCTCTCTGTGGGCCAAAGCAGCAAAACATAGCCTTATTACTATTATTGTCAAATAACTTAGCTGTTTTACAATGCCACTTAATACTGAGTCAGGCAATTGGTCCATAAGTCCCAGGAATGCCTAAGCAAGGCCTGAGGGGGAACTTCCTGAGGCTCTCCTCAGTGATGGGGGCGGGGGGAGAAATCGGATCCAGGTTTCAGCCAAATCTATCAAATCCTCACTTTCGGAAACGAAAAGACAGCTATCCGTCAAAATTCGCACTTCTCTGAGTTTTGCTATGCAGTCCATCAATCAAACCATATTGACTAAAATGTATCTAATGGGGGAAATTGTGTGTATTCGTTAATTGATTGATTGATTGATTGATTGATTGATTGATTTCCATCCCAGCTTTTTCCCCCTCAAGGAGCTCAAAGTGACATACAGTGGTACCTCTGGTCAAGTACTTAATTCGTTCCAGAGGTCTGTTCTTAACCTGCAACTGTTCTTAACCTGAAGCACCACTTTAGCTAATGGGGCCTCCTGCTGCTACCGTTCCGCCGGAGCACGATTTCTGTTCTCAGCCTGAAGCAAAGTTCTGAACCTGAAGCACTATTTCTGGGTTAGCGGGGTCTGTAACCTGAAGCGTATGTAACCCGAGGTACCACTGTACACAGTTCTCTCCATGCCATCTGAAAGGTAGGTTAGGCTGAGAGGCAGTGGCTGGGCCTGAGATCATACGCAGTGAGCTTCATGGCTGAGTGGTGGGATTCAAAATTCAATCTCCCTCTTGGGACCTAGTTATCCACTCTAACCACTGCACCACCGCTGCCTCTTTCCCCCTTCCTTCTGATATCTGCCTCTTGTGCTGGTCTAGAAGGTAGGACACATTGGTATACATTTAGAATGAGTGTGTAGCCAGCACAGCCAGTGGTCAGGTATAGGGATGGAAGGGAAATTGTTTTGGTTCCAACTTAAAGTCAAACCTACTGATTCACCTGAAGCAATACATGAATCGAATTGTGGCCGACCTTTGAAATTTGTGCTTTTCTGAATTTTGCAGTGCAATTCTGCAGCTGAGTCATGCATACAAAAAAGTCACCCATGAGACCAAAGTGTGCATCCATTAGTGGAAGTAACATGTCAAATATGCATTGTGTTACTGAAAACTGCTTTGCAAAAATGCACACACAAAAATTGCATGCCAAGTTGTGTATGCCAGGAGTCTTTGAATTCTTTGATTCAAGCTGATGAATTCTCATAAAGCCTTTTGTGGGGAGGGTGTGGATCTGCAAACTGATGTGCAGATGTGGAGAACTGAACTGAATATTGGGGAAAGGAGGAATGGATTTGCCCATTCTGAACCCCTTCCCGTTCCCAAAGCAGTCTATAACAAATTGAGCTGCTCAGGATAAACCAATAAGATATTGGACTGAACTTGCACCGCTTCTGCTAAAACAGTGTTCAAAAACAGGAAGGACTGGAGGAGGCTGGTGATTTGGGGAGGAGCCCAGGAGTGTTTGTGTGTTTGTGTGTGTGTGTGTGGTGGTGGGGGGTCGGTGACCGCATTTTTCCAATAGCAGGTAAGTGACTGCTGTAGACTGAACTAAATGTGAGTGGATTTGGGAAAGAGATTATGAGCTTGCAGAGTCGGAGCGAGGGAAAGCTGCAGCTTAGCATCATCATTTGAGAACATTGAAAAATAACTCTCCATTTGATACTTCGCTCTGAGGTCATTAACACTGAAGTGCCGCTGATTACGATGCTGCTAACGACAACAAAACAGTATATTGCACAAAAACAGAAATATAACCCCATCCCCATCCCCATATCTGATTGGCTAAGGAAAACCTGGCAAACTATCTTAACGATAAACCTTACACATAAGAAAAATGCAATATGTAATACTCAAGAAAACACACTTGTTGAGAAGTGAGCCTTTTCTGGAATGACAATGTAAATGATTGTATCATCTCATGGCGCTATAGCCTTTTTTGTTATATTATCCCTCCCCTCCCACATGCCATTTTCTTTCCCCCGCTTTCTGTTTGATTTGTTTTCTTTTTATTCATTCATTCATTTGATTTATTTATTGAATTTATATTCTGCCCTATACCTGGAGGTCTCAGGGCAGCTCACAGAACAAAACCAGAACTCAAAACCACAAAATATATAATCAAAATAAAAACAATAACCCAATAACACCCTCTCCCCAAAAACCCCCACATTTTAAAAGGGCATATGGTGTCAATCAAATCAACCAAAGGCCTGGTTGAAAAGGAACATCCCACAGACGGGGAGCCACTGCAGAGAAGGCCCGTTCTCGTGTTGCCACGTTCTTGTGCAGTTTTCTTCTTAGGAAACAAGGCTGTTTGATATATAAAACAGTTTGGAATTGTGATAATATAGCAATTTAGCATCAATCAATTTATTGTTTAGAAAAGGGAGATCTGGAGGCAGTGAGGAAAGGATGAGTGTGTGGGGGTCGTCCCCCACCCCATCCTTGGGAAGGTTGGTAAATATTGTGGATCTCTAACGGGCTGGGCATTGAAGCCAGGCACTGATTCTTCTACAAAATAAAAATATTTTCCGCACCAAGCGTTCCATGATGCATAATTCCTTCTATCGCTGATGGTTAAGTCATGAAAATGGCAGGATGCTTCTGCAAGAGGGAGATATCGACTGGCTTGGGGAATCCTGAGGTTTACAGATGTTGAAATCTATTTAGGGAGAAATGCTAAGGGGAGGGAAACAAACAAACAAACAAACCCTCCAGCAAAACAAGAATTGAGCATGCTCAGTGGCCACAAAATGCCAGCTGATTGTTGGCGGGGATGGATGTATCATTCATGTGGTCAACTTTAATCCATCGGTAACTGTTGAATGGGACGCAGGTGGCGCTGTGGGTTAAACCACAGAGCCTAGGACTTGCCGATCAGAAGGTTGGCGGTTCGAATCCCCGCGATGGGGTGAGCTCCCGTTGCTTGGTCCCTGCTCCTGTCCACCTAGCAGTTCAAAAGCACATCAAAGTGCAAGTAGATAAATAGGTACCACTCCAGCGGGAAGGTAAACCGCGTTTCCGTGTGCTGCTCTGGTTTGTCAGAAGCGACTTAGTCATGCTGGCCACATGACCCGGAAGCTGTACGCCGGCTCCCTCGGCCAGTAAAGCGAGATGAGTGCCGCAATCCCAGAATCGGCCATGACTGGACCTAATGGTCAAGGGTCCCTTTACCTTTACCTTTAACTGTTGAATGCTGAAGAGAAAGAGGCGATGTTCCACATACATTCATTCGGAGTGCAGATCTGTGATCTGGAGAGATCTGAATGATTAAACAGAACCCCTATAATCAGATACTGTGATTTCCTGGTCTTCAGTGGAAAACTGGCACACCTGGGGTCAGGAAGGAACCTGCATCTATCCAGCGATTGTTAGACTACAACTCCCATAAATGCTAAACTTCCTGTCTGAGTCTGTCTGAGCCTGACTTAAATTCAAAATCTTGCAAGGTCGTCCTGACTGAATCTGACTTAAATCCAAGCCTCGCTAGATCAAACTGTTTGATCCTGAATTAAATTCAAAATCTTCCTAGATCATCCTGTCTCAGACCCGCCAGGTGTCCCTATTTTCCAGGGACGTCCCCAATTTAGAGAAGCTGTCCCGGTTTCTGATATGATCCCGGAACATCCTGCTTTTCCTTAGGAAGTCCCTATTTTCATGGGAGAAATGTTGGAGGGTATGGTAGGATGACCCTATTTGCACTGGAGGGTATGGAGTTATTCAACCCCTGAGTTATCTGAAGGCAATCCTACATAGGGAAGGTTTTTAAAAAATGTTTAATGTTTTATTATGTTTTCATATATGTTGGAAGCTGCCCAGAGAGGCTGGGACAACCCAGCGTGGGGTATAAATAGTAAAATTCATTGTGGAATGGGACGTCCCTATTTTCATCAGAGAAGCGTTGGAGGGTATACTTGTCTCAACCCGACTTAAATCCAAGCCTTGCTAGATCTTCCTTTCTAAGCCTGAAATATAATTCAAAACCTTGCTAGGTCACCCTGTCCGAGCCTGGCATCAAGTCCAAACCTTGCTAGGGCATCCTGTTTACTTTTCCTGGCCAAAATCAAAATCAAACTACCCCTCCCCCCCCACAAAAAAATGTCCCAGCGTGAGCGACGGCCAGTCGTGTTTTTCTGCAAACGGTGGCTGGGCGAGTGAGTCAGCTCATGAAATAGATTTTCCTTGGGGGTTTCCACCGCCTTCCCTGCTAACTCATCCCGAGGCCCCGGCAGAGAGTCTGTAACACAAACTCTCCCCTTGTGTGTCTTCTGCAGCCTGTACACACACACACACACACAAGGTGCTGTTGTTGGGGGCTTCTCCACCCCCCCCAGCCCTTCCTTGGTTGCATGCCGAATCTTGCAAAAAGAAAGTTTGTTTGTGGACAGCTGGGCAGGGCTGAGGCTGGCTGCTGAGCTTTGTGGGATGTTGTTGACAAGCCAGGAAGGCAGTGCCCTGTGTCAGTAGCAGTGCGGGCTGCAGCCTGGGGGGGGGGGAAGTCCGGGCGTGGGCGGTGTCTGTGGAAAGAGAAACCGTACACCAGCAAAGTCTTTTAGCTTAATGGAGCACTGATCCTTTGAACAACTCCCCCCCTTCCTCGTTCCCCCCCCGATTCTGGCTGCCCACAGCTGTATAAAAAGCACCGCCCTGTTCCCCCACTGACATTATCCTTGCAAGCGTCCGTCTTCAGGGTAAGTGGCAATCCTTGGGAAGGGGCACAGTGCCAGTTGGTGCCATAGGCTGGGCCCCCTTCTTTGGTCATGGGATGTGCATGTGTGTGAGTGTGTGTTAGAGAGATATGGGGCAGTGCAGTTATGGGAGTGCAAAGTCTGCTGACTAACGAAAAGAATTTTGGGAGGCGATGAATCACTTGAAAACACCCATCCAATCCACCATTGCATTCATGGATTACATGCATGCATTGAGGTGTGTTAGAAAAATCTGCAAGCAGAGGAGGGTCGTCTGTTTGAGGTACAGTGGTACCTCGGGTTACAGATGCTTCAGGTTATAGACGCTTCAGGTTACAGACTCCGCTAACCCAGAAATAGTACCTCGTGTTAAGCACTTTACTTCAGGATGAGAACAGAAATCGCACGGTGGCAGCGGGAGGCCCCATTAGCTAAAGTGGTACCTCAGGTTAAGAACAGTTTCAGGTTAAGAACAGACCTCCTGAATGAATTAAGTTCTTAACCCGATGTACCACTGTACTGGTGAGATTCTGAGATAAGCTCAGAGGTTTAAGAAGTTCTGGGCTCCTCTCCTCCAGAAAATAAAATAAAATATTGCAGAATGGGTAAAGTTTCAGAAATGGACAACCACAAATAATCAAGGGGGTTGGAGCGAGGCCCCACCCCATGAGGAAATATTTTTAGAAGACATCTGAAGGCAGCCCTGTTTAGGGAAGCTTTTAATGTTTGATGTATTACGGTATTTTAATATTTTGTTGGAAGCCGCCCAGAGTGGCTGGGGAAGCACAGCCAGATGGGCGGGGTATAAATTATTATTATTATTATTATTATTATTATTATTATTATTATTTCAGCCTCTGGGACGTTTTAGCTTAGAGAAATGACGAGTAAGAGGTGGCGCGAGAGAAGTTTATACAATGATGCACGAGGACAGAGAAAAAGCGTTTCCCCATCTCTCATAACACCAGAGTTTGAAGTGGAGTTGAATGTGGGAAGGGCCAGGGCAGAATGACTTTTTCATGAAGTGCAGAGTTAAACTGTGGAACTCCCCGCAGGAGGCAGTGGCCGATAGCGACCGACTTGGGAGGCTTCAAGAAAAAGGATTAGAGAAATTTTCATGGAGGAGGAGGATATGGCTATCGATGGCTACTAGCCATGATGGTTTGACTCTGCCTTCACAGGCAGCAGTGTTTCTGAACGCCAGTTACTGGAACCTGCAGCAGGGGCGAGGACCACTGTGAGAACAGGGTTCTGGATTGTATGAGCCAGTGGTCTGATCCCATAGGACTCCTCCTCTGCTCTTACGTTTAAGAAACAAGTGGGCAATGCGATCCTAAGCACTTTGACTTGAGAGCCAGTGAACTTTGGGAGATACATACACTAAGTAAATATGTTAATGACTGCACTGTCTGTCTCTGCCCATTCAGCTATCTCCCTATATGTTCCGTATTTTTCACTCTATAGGACGCACCGGACCATAGGACGCACTGGACCATAGGAGGGGAAGAACAGGGAAAAAAATTCTCCCACTCTCTGCTCAGTGCCCCTTCAGCGAAGCGGCATGAGAAACGGAGCCCCTTCCATTTCTCCTCCCGTTTCACTGAAGGGGCGCTGGGCAGAGAGGGGAAACTGTGCAGCACCTCTCCAGTGAAGCGAAGCCTGGAGAGCAAGAGGGATCGGTGTGCACCGACCCCTCTCGCTCTCCAGGCTTCAGGCGGCTATCCGCAAGCCTTCAGAGCGCAGCGGGAACTCCTGCTGCGCTCTGAAGGCTTGCGGATAGCTGCCTGAATCCCTCGGAGCACAGCGGGAGTTCCCGCGAAAGCAACGCGAAGCCTCCGGAGCGCGGGGGGAGCTCTCTCTCTGCACTTCGGAGGCTTCGCGTTGCTATTGCTGAAGCCAAGGAGCCTGCATTCGCTCCATAGGACGCGCACACATTTCCCCTTAATTTTTGGAGGGGAAAAAGTGCGTCTTATAGAGCAAAAAATATGGTATTTATTCTCTTGTAATAATACTGTATTATATGAAGGGCACTTCCAGACAGATGCTGTTTTCTAATGAGATCCAATCATGTCCTGGCAAATCTGGGTTGGGCAATTAAAATCAATTGGGAGGTCTTGCATAAACCCACTTTCCCCCACCCCACCCTGGACTTTTTGCAGGAAGGAAAGTGATGGGGAAAAGCACCAGAGAGAGAGCGTTGGGTCGCAGTTGATTGACACGACGTCGTCTAACGAATCAGAACGAAATGCTCAATAAATAGCAGAGGGCATCTAACCTCCCAGCAAACAAATCAGGATGAGTGCTGGATAAACCAGTCACGTGGAAGTGACATAACACACCAGAATCCAAAATAGCCCACAAGATGTGCTTCATAGCCACTAGCTTAGATAGAATCACAGACGTGTGTCTGTAAGGCATACCCACATTTCCTGTTGTCCCGCTGCTTCCTGCCCTGGGAAAACTGCTCTTTAATGCTCAATCAGAACAAACGGCTGTTATAAGAATTTGGGCTGGCTTTTGAAGTCCACCTCCCTATTGAGGGACTCAAGATCCCTTGAGGTCTGCTGTTGGTCAGAGATACAACAGAGGTGACCATTCGGGTTTCCCCTGGATTGCCATTTGTTCTGATCTGGCTCTAAAGAGTGGGTTTTTCCTTGGAAAAGAGCAGGGCAAGGGGAAAACAGCTTGGACCTGTCCTTTATTGAGCATGACAGAAGCAGAAGTGTGGATGAACCCTCGATCGATCAATCAATCAATCAATCAATCAATCAATCAATCTCTTTCTATCATCTATCATCTATCATCTATCATCTATCATCTCTCTATCTCTATCTCTATCTATCTATCTATTTCATCTATCTCTATCATCTCTCTATATCTATCTATCATCTATCATCTATCTATCTATCATCTATCTATCTATCTATCTATCTATCTATCTATCTATCTATCTATCATCTATCTATCTATCATCTATCTATCTATCATCTAGTGTCCAGATGTTGCGCGGACCCCCCTGGTTGAAATTATCAATTTGTCCCTTGACACGGGGACATTCCCAGGGGAACTGAAGGAAGCAGTAGTGTGTCCACTCTTAAAGAAAACTTCATCAGATCCCTTAGACTTATCCAATTACCGCCCAGTTTCAAATCTTCCATATCTGGGTATGGTAATTGAGAGAGCGGTTGCTGAACAGCTTGGTAGGTTTCTGGAGGAAACATCGGCTTTAGATCCATTTCAGTCCAGTTTCCGTCCTGGTTTTGGGACCGAGACGGCTCTGGTTGCCCTCACAGATGATCTCCGTAGACAACTGGATCGAGGCGGGTCAGGACTGCTGATCCTTTTAGATTTGTCAGCAGCCTTTGACATGGTCGATCATGATCTTCTGGACCACCGCCTTGCAGACGTGGGGATACAGGGCATAGCCCGTAACTGGCTGTGCTCTTTTATCTCTGGTTGGGGACAGAGGGTGGCACTAGGGAGGGAAATGTCCTCGCGCCATTCCTTGGTGTGTGGAGTGCCGCAGGGCGCAATTCTCTCCCCGATGCTTTTTAACATCTTTATGCGCCCCCTTGCCCAGATTATCCGGAGCTTTGGACTGGGCTGTCACCAATATGCTGATGACACTCAGCTCTATCTGCTGATGGATGGCCACACCGACTCGGCCCCGAACACACTGACCAGATGCTTGGAAGCTGTGGCTGGATGGTTTCGTGGGAGCCGACTGAAACTAAATCCTTCGAAGACAGAGGTCCTATGGCTAGGTCAGGATGGCATGGGGATGAGGAACCAACTCCCTTCTCTTGCGGGGGCCCAATTAGTGCCATTGCCTTCTGTTAAGAGTTTGGGTGTAATCCTTGACGCCTCCCGTTCCATGGAGGCGAACGTTACAGCAACAGCCCAGGCGACATTCTGCCACCCTCGCCGCCTCAAGCAGGTCGTCCCTTACCTTGCCCGCCCCACCTGGCCACAGTGATCCATGCGACGGTCATCTCCAGGCTTGACTACTGTAATTCGCTCTACGTGGGGCTGCCCTTGAAGCTGACCCAGAAACTCCAGAGGGTGCCGAATGCTGCAGCGAGGCTCCTCACGGGGTCTCTGCCACGGGAGCATATTCACCCAGTGCTTTTCAAACTGCACTGGCTCCCGGTAGAGTACAGGGTCAGATTTAAGGTGCTGCTTTTGACCTTTTAAACTCTTCACGGCCTAGGACCCTCGTACCTACGGGACCGCCTCTCCCGGTATGCCCCACAGAGAGCCTCAAGGTCCATAAATAGCAACACCCTAGAGGTCCTGGGCCCTAAGGAAGTTAGATTGGCTTCAACCAGAGCCAGGGCCTTTTCAACACTGGCTCCGGCCTGGTGGAACGCTCTGCCTCATGAGACCAGGGCCCTGCAGGATCTGATTTCTTCCGCAGGGCCTGTAAGACAGAGTTGTTCCGCCTGGCCTTTGGCTTGGAGCCAATTTGATTACCTCCCTCCCTTTCTTTCTTTTTCCTTTCCTTCTCCTCCTGCGATGAGGCTACATTTTAATATTTTAATGTTTCCATATTTTAATGTTGTATTTTAATTTCGTTTTTAAGTTGTAATCATTCAATTTGTTTTTATTATTGCTCATAAGCCGCTCTGAGCCCGGCCTTGGCTGGGGAGGGCGGGGTATAAATAAAAATAATTATTATTATTATTATTATTATTATTATTATTATTATTATTATCAATCATCTATCTATCTATCTATCTATCTATCTATCTATCATCTATCTATCTATCTATCTATCTATCTATCTATCATCTAATCTATCTATCATCTATCATCATCTCTATCTATCATCTACAGTATCTATCTATCTCTATCGTTGTGGCACACAGGACTAAAACATTGCCAGCAAAACAGAGCCTCCAAATTCAGGGTCAGTGTATCCTGAAAACGGACACGGAGCAATGGATCCAAACTACAAGAAAGAAGATTCCACCTAAACATTAGGAAGAACTTCCTGACAGTAAGAGCTGTTTGACAGTGGAATTTGCTGCCAAGGAGTGTGGTGGAGTCTCCTTCTTTGGAGGTCTTTAAGCAGAGGCTTGACAACCATATGTCAGGAGTGCTCTGATGGTGTTTCCTGCTTGGCAGGGGGTTGGACTCGATGGCCCTTGTGGTCTCTTCCAACTCTATGATTCTATGATTCTATGAAAACCAGGTGCTAAAGACAAATTGCAAAAAACAACAACGTGGAATGTTGCCTCCATGCCTTGCTGGTGGGTTTCTGGGAGATTCCTGGGTCTCTCGCTGAGGAGGGCTTTTCTTACATTTTAAAGGGTGCTATTAATTCTCAGTCCAGCCAGCTAACCGGCGTAAGGACCAGCCAGATTGGACGTTGGTCACCTATTTTGGAGCTAATTGCCTTTTAAGACAATTAGCTGGTGTGGTATGGGGAGCCAGATCGCAGGGCTGTGGGACGGAGGGGAAAGTGTCTCCCCTGACCCCAAAGTCGCGTTTAGAAGTGCTTTAGTTGCCCCAGGAGGAAAGTGGTGTGATCCTATCCATGCTTTCGCCCTGAATTCAGCAGGACTGGCTTGCAAGAGGGCATTCATAGGATCTGGCCCACACGTCCATGCAACTGAATTCACTTCCTCATATTTACCCAAAAGTAAGCCTCATTGAGTTGGAGGAGGCTTATTCCCAAGTCAGCGTGCAGCACAATGCAATTGATTAATCTATGGATGGAAAGATACAACTCTGATGTGCGCATTGTTATTTCTTACTGTTAATTCTTTTTAGTGGTGTTATTAGTTCCTAATTTCCACAGAGGGAGGTGAGCTCCTTGCCCTCTTAACAACCAGTTCCCTTCTCCTTGGGACTTGACCACTTTCTAATATTTTGGGGATACAATGTCCTGCAGAAATGTACTAGGATCAACCCACAGTCAGAGTTGATGGGGAGAAATGTGATTCAGCTCACATTTAAAAATGAATCTCCCTAGTTTCCACATCCCAAAATGATTCACAAATGGAAACACAGCCATTTTAGGAAATCTGTGCTTCTCTGAATTTTGCAATCCAGTTTCTTTAGCGGAGTAACATGTACAGACTGGCGTTAAAGTGTGTGTAGAAATGGATCTCTTAATGAAACCAACCCGCCACAAATGCACTCTACTGGGAAACGTTGCAAATAGGTGCATAAGAAGATTGCGAACATCAGGAGAAGTTTGAGTGAATATGCTAATAGGTTTTCACGAGAAGAAAAGAAAGGTCATAGAATCATAGAATCATAGAATCATAGAGTTGGAAGAGACCACAAGGGCCATCGAGTCCAACCCCCTGCCAAGCAGGAAACACCATCAGAGCACTCCTGACATATGGTTGTCAAGCCTCTGCTTAAAGACCTCCAAAGAAGGGGACTCCACCACAGGTCGAGGGCTTGTGAGAGTTGGTTGATGCAGATATGCTGAAGGAGGATGGGAGAATGCCAGAATGGCCAGTTCTAGTGCTTTATTAAAGGAAAGTGTAAGCTTACAACAAGCCCTGCAGAACCTCACTGCTATTATGTTAAGCATTACTTATGCACAAAGCAAACTACGTAAACAGGCACCAATAATCCAGTTAACTCACCCCTGGCTTAGAGGCCCCCTTCCATCTCTCAGATAAGGTAGTACTTTATCTCTCATCCATCTCTCAGATAAGGTAGAAGCTTTCATCCATCTCTCAGATAAGGTAGAAGCTTATCTCTCATCCATCTCAGGCTGGCAGGCAATCAGTGTGAGAGGTCTCCCTTCTCCCAACTTGCTAAGCACCCCAAGCAAGCCAACTAATACTGTATATGCCCAAGCACGTGAATAAGCCGATTTGATCTTGTTCTTTTTTTAAAAAAAAATTTTATTAACAATTTCAACATAACAATATATCAAAACATATCATATTCATTATTTTCCCCCTTTTCCCATTCCCCATCAAACCCTCTCCCCCCCGAGACTTCCCTCAGTTCCTCTCTCTGATTTCTCAGCATATTATAAAATTATTTCAATCCTTATATTATCTATCTACCATGTTATCAATCACTAAATTTGTGTGTGTTTATTCAAAACCTGCCAAGGAGTCACAATTCATTTTGTTGTCTTTTTAAATACTTTGTAAAAAGTTCCCATTCTTCTTTGAAGTCACCGTTGTCCTTACCTCGCAGTTTGTATGTCAGTCTAGCCAATTCTGCATAGTTCATCAGTTTCTCTTGCCACTGTTCCTTTGTCGGGGTTTCCTCATTCTTCCATCCTTGTGCTCTTGCCGCTGTTGTAGCATACATGAATAAATTCTTTGTTTTCCTTGGCAGGTCTTGTCCTACAACCCCTAACAAAAATGCTTCTGTTTTTTTTACAAATGTTATTTTAAACATTTTCTTCAATTCATTATCTATCATTTCCCAAAAATTTTTAACTTCTCTGCATTCCCACCACATACGATGTGATCTTGTTCTTGCAGCAAGTGACAATTGGTCCTGGGGTTATCTTGGCTAGCAAGGTGGTGTTTACAGGCCTTCTGGAACGTTTTCGCCTTTGCCTCTAGGCAGTATCGCAAACTGGTAGCTCAGCTGGTTGGATCATGGTGCTGATAACGCCAAGGTTGCAGGTTTGATCCCTGTATGGGACAGCGGGACATGTTTCCTGCACGGCAGGGGGTTGGATGACATGGTTCTCAAGATGCTTTTCAACTCTACCGTTCTGTGATTCTATGAAAAGCCGAAAGACCAGCCCATGGTGCATTCGTTTGGCAAAGCAACAAGTGACGTTGGTCTCTCTCGTTGACTTGTTGTCGATTGATGGTGATGTTTTAACTAGCCAGAGCTATGATTCGATTCATTTAAAATATTGCTATGGAAAGACCCTGACAGTTAAAAAAATAAAAAGACATAGCAATAAAAAAACAGCAGAACAACAGAAAAATTACTACTACTACTACTACTACTACTAATAATTTATTATTTATATCCCGCCCATCTGGCTGGGCTTCCCCAGCCACGCTGGGCGGCTTCCCAAAAAATATTGAAATACTGCAATACATCAAACACCAAAAGCTTCCCTAAACAGGGCTGCCTTCAGATGTCTTCTAAAAGTCTGGTAGTTGTTGTTCTCTTTGACATCTAATGGGAGGGCGTTCCACAGGGAGGGCGCCACTACTGAGAAGGCCCTCTGCCTGGTTCCCTGTAACTTGGCTTCTCGCAGTGAGGGAACCACCAGAAGGCCTTCAGTGGTGGACCTCAGCGTCTGGGCAGAATGATGGGGGTGGAGACACTCCTTCAGGTATACTGGACCGAGGCCGTTTAGGGCTTTAAAGGTCAGCACCAACACTTTGAATTGTGCTCAGAAACGTACTGGGAGCCAATGTAGGTCTTTCAAGACCGGTGTTATATGGTCTCTTAGTTCTTCTTATGTCCTTTGCTGCTTTGTTGCTGCTTTCCTCCTGCTCTTCGCCTGTTGATTTCCTCCTGACTGCCTCACCTTGCCTCTTTCCCCTGTTCACAGAGCCCGTCTTACACAGCCCGTTGCTACAAACACACTCTCCATCCGTCGAGCCACAGCCTCAGCGAGGAAGGAAGGAACTCACCACTCCTCAGTCCTGAGATGGCCAGCAGCGAATGGACAGAGCTGGAGGCAGCCATCGAGAAGATCGTGAACATCTTCTTCACGCATGCGGGCCGTGAGGGCAAGAAGGGGACTCTGACAGCTGGGGAGTTCAAGGAACTTGTTCATGAGCAGCTCCCGAATCTCATGAAGGTAGGGGGGGCAACACATATTATAGGGTGCAAGACCAGGAGGATGGGGGAGACTTTTATTTTAAAATCAGGATAAGCAGGGCTAGGCCGAAAGCATTTTGCTGAAGGACAAGTTGGAGACCCACTGCCTCTCATTTGAATGTCCCAGAAGCTCTGCAGGGAAAAGTTTTCTGCCTGAGAGCCACATTCCCTTCTGAGCAGCCTTCCAGGGCCGTGTTGCAGTGTTGGGCAGGGACCAGAGGCAACAGTGAGTGGAGTAACGAGTGCGGATTTTACCTTTGCCGAGTAAACTGGTTCCCACACACTCACTTGCACCTCCCTTCATGAATCCTTCATCCAAGCAAGCAAGAGGCATTATTAGAGCTGGGATGGTGTCCTGTGCAGGTCAGCAATAAATCACACGGCGTCAGTGAAGTTAGGGAAACAAGATCTGCTCAGGAGGCCAGGCCTAGCGAGCACAGCAACTCATCCTGGTAGACCTTGCCCCCTATGAGGCAGCTGAGGGTTGCCCACAGTTGCCTAAGTCTGCTTCTCCCCAGTTCCTTCCCAAGCAATCTGAGACTCAGTCGACGTGCCTGTCTTTGTTACTCCCTCTTCACACCTCTCCTGGTCCTGGGAGACCAGCAGGGAGGGAAGCTGGACACAGCAGGAGGGGAGTCTCCCTGGCTTCTTCAGCAGCCTGCCTCATCTCGGCCTCTTGGCCCCCTCCTTTCCAGCCTCTGCTTCTGCCTCTGATTCTGAACTGCTCTCTGCCACAGCCTCTTCCTGCTCACTACGGCGGTTCATAAGAAACTTTTTTGTTGTTGTAAATGCCTGCTCCAAAGGTCTTATCTTACTATCTTAGGGATTATACAGCTATATCTGAAATGTCATGCATATCAGTTAATATCTTGACCCTCCTCCACGAAATAGCTGTTTACTTGGCCGTTTTCCTATGTCGTGAAGGGTGAAATTTCAATTCAGTGGAGCAGGGTCAAGATATTAACTGATATGCATGAAATTTCAGATATAGCTATATAATCCCTAGTGTAGTAAGATAAGACCATTGGAGCAGGCATTTACAAAAGAAAAGTTTTTTATGAACCGCCCTACTGCTCACTAAGGGATGCGGGTGGCGCTGTGGTCTAAACCACAGAGCCTAGGGCTTGCTGATCAGAAGGTCGGCAGTTCGAATCCCCATGACGGGGTGAGCTCCTGTTGCTCGGTCCCTGCTCCTGCCAACCTAGCAGTTCGAAAGCACATCAAAGTGCAAGTAGACAAATAGGTACTGCTCCGGCGGTAAGGTAAACAGCGTTTCCGTGCACTGCTCTGGTTCACCAGAAGCAGCTTAGTCATGCTGGCCACATGACCCAGAAGCTGTACGCCAGCTCCCTTGGCCAGTTAAGCGAGATGAGTGCCGCAACCCCAGAGTCGGTCATGACTTGACCTAATGGTCAGGGGTCCCTTTACCTTTACCTTTACTGCTCACTAAACCCTGTTGCATGTTCTGCTTCCGACACATCCTTCTCCTTCTGACCACCCACCACCAGTCCCCTGGCTCCGACCCATCTTCCCTTGGGGGTTCCCCAGCTACTGCTTCCCACCTCTCCTCTGCATCCAGCTAGTCTCCAACAGCTGAGAGAGAACCCTGCCTCAAACCCTAGAGAGCAGTTGCCAGTCAGTGTTGGAAATACTGTGCCAGACGAACCAATGGTTTGACTCTGACAAGAGTGGAGGGATTCACTCGTGTGCTACATTCCAGAAGGTAAGGTGAAGGATTGCAAAAGTTTTGAGTAGCTGGCAGCTGCTGCAGTCGCAATGTCTAAGGACAGGGGAGGTATTGTATTTGATTCATGTCGCAGTTGGAGGAGAACCTAAGTCGTGCTTTCGGAATCAATGACTTAAATGCAGCCTGCCTTCAAAATTCACCCTTCTCTGAATCTTGCAATGCATTCTCTAGCACAGCCTTTTACACCAAGATGTGTATGAATGCATCTCTTAGTGAAAATAAGATAGAAAAATGCATTGTATTCAGGAAAATTGCTTTGCAAAGATTTTTGTGTGTGTGTGTGTTAGGTAAAATTGCATAGAAAAATGTGTGCTCTGCAAAACTATTAGGCAACGTTGCGTATACGCATGTGTCCATTTTGAGAAATGTGCATTAAAACGCTGATGGATTTTCATGAGGCCTTGATTCGTGTCCCTTTTAAAAGTGAGCCTACTTGACAGTTGCCATTGTGCTCAGAGTAGACCCACTGGAAATAATGGACCTACGTTAGTCTAGTTCATTAAAGTCAACGGGGGTCTATTTCTGAGTGGGATGAAGATTGGGAGCAACCCCACTGAGCCTAAGTTAGTCACATCCATTGATTTCAGTCGGTCTACTCTGAGTAATGACTAATGCTGGGCTCCACCTGTACTAGCTGTTCAAAGAACTGTGATACCGCTTTAACAGCCATGGCTGCCTCCATAGGATCCTGGGGGGAGTTGTTTATTAAGGGTGATGTTAGGAGACCCCACCCTGAGCTACGATTCCCAGCACCCTTAAACTGTGGTTCCCAAGATTCTTTGGAGGAAACTGCCTTGACTTTAAAAAGTGGTACAAATGTGATTTCAATTGATGGTTTGGATATGACCCCTGCTGCCTTTGATTTTCTTTTCTTCTTCTTTTTATATATAAATTTTATTAGTATTTTCCACACAACAACAACAACATGAAAAATATCAAAAAATAACAGTACACAAAAACACTAAAACCGACATTCAAAACAAACAAACAAAACAAATCCATATCCTACAAGTTAATAATATAAACACTAAAAAGAAAAACAAACATTGACTTCCCTTTGTTTATCTACATTGAGCCATGGGGTTATGGTCCCGGCTGTGTATACTATACATTTAAGGCACCCCCACAAAATAAAAAAAGGATCCTAGGAGCTGTAGTTTGTTAAATTGAGAGATTTTAGGAGACCTTAAGACAGCTACAATTCCCAGTGCCTCTAACAAACTGCTGTATACTTCCCAGGATTATTTAAGGAGGGGGAAAGCCACGACTGCTAAAGTGGTATAAAAATGCTATAGATATATGGGGTTCTTATTCCTACTCAGAGTAAACCCACTGAAATTAATCAACACGACTAACCTAGTCTACTCTGCCAAGAAAGAGCATGTAGAAAACTAGTTCTTCAGGGAATAAATTGCAGCTAGACCACCTTCTACCTGACTTGCTAGATTTCTGTGTGCAAGGAATTCCTTTCCTCTCTCACTCTGTGTGCGTGTAGCTTTCAGACCACCCACTCACTTGTTGCTTGTGGGAAGTTGGACCAGACTCCGTGTCATCCATGGGGTGATGCAAACATGAGACACCTGCTGCCGCGATGACCAGATCTTGCAGGAGCAAATTCCTGAAGTTAATTATGCATAGTTATGAAGATGTATTTCCTTTTGTTGGTTCTGAACCGAGGGCTGCCAATCAATTTTCTTGGATGACTCTGAGCTCTAGGAGTATGATGAGAGAGAGAGAGAGAATTCTCCTCAGACTGTCTTCTCCATACCTTACATAATTTTTACAAGCGGGTTCGTGTGACAAAACGTCGCAGCGCCTTTGCTATCCCTGACTTTTCCTTTTTAAAAAAATAATAATACATTTTTATTAATTTTAACATACAAATTATAAAACGTACCACACAAATTATTACAAATACACTTTTTTTGGACTTAACCTCTTTTTATGCATTACTTAATTTTATTTTGTCTTTACCTCTCTTAACTTATCATCTCTCCTTTTCCATTTTTACAATATTTCCAACAGTACTCCTCACAGAACTTCTTGCAAACCTGCAAATGTCATCTGATCATCACAAATACTTTTCATATAGTTCGTAAATTTACTCCAGTCTTCGGTAAAATTCTGGTCCCGCCGGTTTCGGATCCTTCCTGTTAATTCATCTAATTCCTGTTAATTTGTCTAATTAACAAATTAACAAATTAGACGTATCCCTGACTTTTCCTTTCCTTTCCTCCTTTTCCGAAGGACGTTGGCGACCTCGACGAGAAGATGAGGAGCTTGGATGTCAACAACGACGAGGAGCTGAAATTCGGAGAGTACTGGAGGCTGATCGGGGAGCTGGCCAAGGATATCAAGAGGGAGAAAGTGGGGAGAAAGAAGTGAAAGTCGTGGCATGGGTGGGTGGCCGTGGCTCGTGCGAGAGAGAGAGTTGGGTGGGTGGGACCAAGACACCTTGATTCTGAGTCCTTGCAGGAGGAGGAAGATAACAGGAAATATCAACCTGTCAGTCAGCAGGCTGCAGCAATTCAAATAAAAGCATTTGCTCTGAGATACTGTTGTTTGTTGCTTGCTTGGTGGCAAGGTAATAATAATAATAATAATAATAATAATAATAATAATAATAAAAACATCAAATGTCACACATTAAAAACTTCCCTGAACAGGGCTGCCTTCAGATGTCTTTTAAATGTCAGGTAGTTGTTACGGTCTTCAAATAAAAACATCTTGGAGGTCCCGGGCCACAGAGAGGTTAGGCAGGCCTCAACCAGAGCCAGGGCTTTTTTGGCTGTGGCCCCGATCTGGTGGAATGCTCTGTCACAAGAGACTAGGGCCCTGCGGGACTTGACATCTTTCCACAGGGCCTTTGGCCAGGGCACAGCCTGACTCCCTCCTTCGGCAATCTTCACGGAGCTCTGGCCCAATGGTTGCCATTGGTTTGAGTTGAATTAATTTTATAATGAATGATTTTAGAGTGTTGTGTTGTGTTGTACTGTTGTACTGTTTTATTGTTGTTAGCCGCCCTGAGCCCAGCTTCGGCTGCGGAGGGCGGGATATAAATAAAATTTATTATTATTATTATTATTATTATCTCTTTGACACCTGATAGGAGGGCGTTCCACAGGGCGGGCACCACTACCGAGAAGGCCCTCTCCCTAGTTCCCTATAACCTCGCTTCTCGCAGTGAGGGAACTGCCGGAAGGCCCTCAGTGCTGGAGGGGTACTCAAAGCTGAGCTATAACCACAGCTAGGATCCAGGAGTCACAGCTAAGAATCAGTGAATGCTGCTATTGTCCCACAGAGAAGGGTTCCAGCTCAGCTGGTAGAATATCTGCCTTGCATGCCTGAAACCTTGGAGGGTCACTGCCAGTCCGTGCAGAAAATACCGAGCTAGGTGGACCACTGGTCTGACTCTGTTTAATGCAGATGCCCCCCATCCTTATAACAGGAAGCTGTTATAAGTACTTCCAGGTCAGGAGGACCCAATGGGTGGCGCAGGTAGGTAGGTGGAGTCACTCTGGAAGCCAGGTATGGCCCAGTTCCCAGCCTTGGTTTCATCCTGGCAACTCTAGATAGGAATCTGGGCCAATCTCTCTCTCTCTCCCCCCCCATTAACATTTTTAGCAAGGTTTATATACCACTTAATTCAAAAGACTATTTCTAAGCAGTTTGCACGAAGCAAAATGAAATGGACCATTGGGTAGCTCAGTCAGTTAGAGCCTAGTGCTAATAACGCCAAGGCTGCAGGTTCAATCCCTGTTTGGGATAGCTGCATATTTCTGCATTGCAGGGGGTTGGATTAGATGAACCTCAGGGTCCCTTCCGTCCTACAATTCTACGATTCTATTCATTTAAATCATTGCTATGAAAAGTCCCTGGCAGTTAAGAAATAAAATATATAGCAATAAACAAAAAAGAGATAAAGGACAGCAAAAATAGTAACATTATCAAACTTAAGATAAAATCAATCATTTGGAAAATAAATATATATAATGAAATCACTTGGATGGCTTTAAAAGAGAATTAGAGAAATCAATGGAGTATCAATAGTAACAATGGAGTATCAATAGTATCAAAATGGCTACTAACCACAACAACTATGTTCTCCCTTCTCTGCTGGAGGTATCATGTCTTTAAATACGAGTTGCTGGAAATCACAGGAGGGCAGAGGGCTCTTGGGCTCACATCCTCTTTGGGGCCATTGTGGGAACAGGGTGCTGGACTGGATGGGCCACTGGCCTGATCCAGCAAAGCTCTTCTTATGTCCATATGTTCTTATGATATTAATGGCCTCTCCACAACAGAGGGGAGTGGAGAGTGAATCTCAAGACCCAAGGAAGAGCAGGGCATGGAGGTTGAGAGTGGAGAGCTACTGCCACATCTCTTGTTGTATTGCTTCATTTAGGGAGCTTTTGTCCAGGTTGCAAAGTGGCAGCCCCAACTTGGAGGAGCGTTAGTGATAGGGAGGAGTAGCGCTGGGACCAGCTCACCCTAAAGAGCAGGCCCCACCATGAGGCAAAGTGAGGGGGCAATATGGGAGGCAGAGCATTCAGAGCTAGGAAGCTCTAGCACTTCTGATAGTGACAATAACATCTCCATCCCTTGGGAGCTCTCCCAGGTCCTGAAGAGCCTCCTCCTTGCCCCTAATTAAAGACCTTGCTCCAAGACCACCTCTCTCCCTTAGGAGCTCTCCCAGGTCCTGAAGTGTATCCTCTCCAATCTTCCTCCCTAGAACAGGGATGGGGAACCTGCAGCCCTCCAGACATTGTTGGACTCCAAATCCCATCAGCCCCAGGCAGTCAGGCCAATGGCCGGGGTGCTGGGAGTTTCATTAATAGCGTTTTTCTGATGCATACCGGGGTAGGCTTGGGGGTCGGGGTGGGGAAGAAAACGGAAGGGATAGGGTAGAGCATTGAGGGAGGAACACATACAGCCAAGATAAATCTACCACCCCCACCCCTTGACCAATGACATAATGATTCTGCAGATATACTGACTGGTGTCGGGAGAAAATGATCCCCTGGCATGATTGGGTTGGGGGGGGCATTGGCAGGAAGATGCAAGGTGTCACACCCACTTCAAAACACATAGATGTAAACTTGTTTATGTATGCCACAACAGCAGCAAGGATACTTTTGGCCCAGAAATGGAAGCAGCAGGAACTTCCAACATTGGAAGAATGGCAGACCAAGATGATAGGATACGTAGAATTGGCAAAGTTGATGGGGAAGATCCGAAATCAACGCGACTGTTTCAAAAGGACTGGAGCAAATTTATATTATATATGAAAGAACATTGTAAACATTTGAAAACGTCTGTAGGTTTGAGTTGAAATATTTTGTAATGCGAACATAAGGAACTGATTTACATTTAAGGAGGTGAAGTTTATTAAGAAGAAAAGAAGGTAAATAAGTGGATATAGAAATGCTAAGATGTAAGTGATTATTTATGAAAGCCAGAAAGCGGGACGGTGGCAGGTCGATGCTCAGTGTGAGCAGTGGTTTTGGTTATGGAATTATGTAATGGAATGGGATTATGATAAAATGTAAATTTAATAAAAATTATTATAAAAAAACAAAAACTTAAAACACAACTGCAAGAGATTAGGGGTGGCAGAGGGTGAGGAAGAATGAAGGACTAAGCAGATTGTCCTGGGTGCTAATGAGTAAGCGCCCCCATAGCCTAAAATAAGAACCGACAATCACTTGCAGCAGCAACACTGGGAGTTGTAGTCTAACAACGCCTGGAGAGTCACAGGTTCCTCAGTCATGCCCTATAGCCTGCCACCCCAAACCAGATGCCTACATCCCACAGCTGTTGAAACTGTACGACAAAGACCCTAAGAACCCAGGAATCCGAATAGACTGTTCTTCTGGACTTCAGAAGAACCTGACTGCTGGTTCAGGTCAATGGATCATCTAGTCCAGAATCCTGTTCTCACAAGGGCTAGCTGGATGCTTCTTGGTGAGCCTGCAAACAGGACCTGAGTGCAACAGCAGCTCTCGCCACTTGTGATTCCTAAAAATCAGTGTGAGAGCCAGTGTGGTGTAGTGGTTAAGAGCAGTACACTCGTAATCTGGTGAACCGGGTTCGCTTCCCCGCTCCTCCACATGCAGCTGCTGGGTGACCTTGGGCCAGTCACACTTCTCTGAAGTCTCTCAGCCCCACTCACCTCACAGAGTGTTTGTTGTGGGGGAGGAAGGGAAAGGAGATTGTTAGCCGCTTTGAGACTCCTTCGGGTAGCGATAAAGCGGGATATCAAATTCAAACTCTTCTAAAAACTGACATTTAGAAGCTCATTGCCTCTTTAGCATAGTTCTTATGGCTCATATTGACAGACTTCTCCATGAATTTGTCCCATCCTCTTTTAAAGCCATCCAAGTTGGTGGCCATCAATGTTTCCTCTGGAAATGAGTCCTCTAGTTTAACTATTCACTTTGTGGGGGAAAACTACCTTCTTCTGTCTGCCTGGAATCTTCCAACATTCAGCTTCATTGGACGTCCACAAATTCTAGTGCTACAAGAGAGGGAGAAAAACTTATCTCTGTCCACTTTCTCCATGCCATGTATGATTTTATACACCTCAATCATGCTCCCTCTTCCTTGCTTGTGTTGGTGCTGACCTTAAAAGCCCTAAACGGCCTTGGTCCAGTATACCTGAAGGAGCATCTCCACCCCCATCGTTCTGCCCAGACACTGAGGTCCAGCACCGAGGGCCTTCTGGCAGTTCCCTCCCTGCGAGAAGCCAAGTTACAGGGAACCAGGCAGAGGGCCTTCTCGGTAGTGGCGCCTGCCCTGTGGAATGCACTCCCTTCAGATTTGAAGGAAATACGTAGCTATCTTATCTTTAAAAGACATCTGAAGGCAGCCCTGTTTAGGGAAGCTTTTAATGTTTGATGCATTACTGCATTTTAATATTTTGTTGGAAGCCGCCCAGAGTGGCTCGGGAAGCCCAGCCAGATGGGTGGGGTATAAATAATAAATAATAAATAATAAATAATAAAAATAATAAATAATAAATAATAAATAATAAATAATAAATAATAAATAATAAATAATAAATAATAAATAATAAATAATAAATAATAAATAATAAATAATAAATAATAAAATTATTGTTGCTTTTAATTCTGGGCTAAAACCCCTTCAATGTGTTAAACCTTTTCCGCAGGGGAGTTGCTCCACCCCCTTGATTTTCTTGCCCTTTCCTGACCTTTTCCCAACTCCGCAATATCCTTTTGGAGGGGAGGCCACCAGAACTGTTCACTATCCTTTCTCCCACTCCATCGCATCTTGCCTGATCCTTGGGAGCACACCTGAGACAGGTAAGGTGGGAATCTGGCAGCCCCTTCCTCGAGGCTGCAGAGGAGGAGGAGGAGCCAGAAATCCATCACCTCCTTTTGCACTGATGAGAGTAAGATGTGTCTACCTCTGGAGGGGGGAAGGCGGAGCATCTGTTAAGACAGAGGACCAGCTCGACAGGTAAGAGAAACACGTTTGGCTTCAGGCCAGGGCTCGGTGCGAGAGAGCCCAGGAATGACAACCTGCTGTTTCTTTGGAGCCGGAAATGATTTCCAAGACGCGTATTGTATAAGGAGGCTGATTTCGGCAGGACAAAGGAATGCACTCCGGAATTTAACCCCCGAGGATGTTGCTCCACCACAAGTGACCATGACAACAGGGGCGTCTCCTGAATCCACACGGCCTCTGATTCCAAGCGTTGTGTGGGCACAGAGGTGGCACCAGTGGCACTTGAACCGCAGGCTGCTCATGCACGCAAATGAGCTTTGCCCATATGGACAAAAGCATCCTTCCCATCCTTTATCCACAGAAAAGGTTCACAGTATAGAAAGATTCCCCATGCGCTCATGGAGCTGTCCCGTGCGCAAGTGCCTTTCCTGGCCCTTACCCACATGGAAGCTTCCCTGTGTGCACACTGGGCTCCCACATTCCCAGGTGCCTCCAAGAAGCCCACACAAGATGGGGCTGAGAATAACCATAACCCCTGCTTGCCCACCTGCTCCAAAACCAGCATCCATAAATTGAGTGCCTCTGAATTTAGAGGGCTCATAGAGCCATCATGATGAGTTGTAGTCATTCACAGACCCTCTCCTGAACCAATGATTTGTCTAATTTCAGCTGAGTTAGGGAATGGGCAAATCTATGTCATTTCCCCAGTTTTCCACATTTCCACATCAGTCTGCATTGAAAGAAAAACTCCACGTGATAATTTATCAGCATTTTAGGGCAGATTTCTCCTAATATGCAGGGTTTGGTTTTGGTTTTTGTCTTGCAAAACAATTCTCCCTTCCGCAAGCCATTATTTTAGGCTCTTTTTACTCACGCATGCATTTCCCTGAAAACTATATTATCTGTTTTTGAAGCTTGGCTGGGGAACCACACTACAAAAGTTAGAGAAGGAGGGATTTGAAGAATGTGTTTTTGGTTCATGCACTCTTTCAGAAAGTTCAGGGTATATTATTAAAAGTAAAGGGACCCCTGACCATTAGGTCCAGTCGTGGCCGACTCTGGGGTTGCGGTGCTCATCTCGCTTTACTGGCCGAGGGAGCCGGCGTACAGCTTCCGGGTCATGTGGCCAGCATGACTAAGCCGCTTCTGGCGAACCAGAGCAGCGCACGGAAATGCCATTTACCTCCCCGCCGGAGTGGTACCTATTTATCTACTTGCACTTCGTGCTTTTGAACTGCTAGGTGGGCAGGAGCTGGGACCGAGCAACGGGAGCTCACCCCGTCGCGGGGATTCGAACC